AAATACTGATTGTTTTCATTGGATACGTACCACAAACCCTTTTTTCCTGACTTGCTTTCTCATTTTTTCCCTAATGAACATCTTTGTATGATAAATTGCTAGAAATGGAACTGCTGGGTCAACACGTATACGTACTTTCAGGGCTTTTCAATAAAGATTGCTAAATTGCCATCCTGAAGGACCACACCAGATTTCATTGTAGGCTCCGAATATGCCTGTTTTTACCACATACTTGCCAATCCTGAGCTTTATTAATGTTTTAAGTCTTTCCAATTTAATAGGTAAAAAGTGATACAATAGTTTACATTTTTTAATACTAATAAGGTAGTTCTTTTTAGAAGTGTCATGAAGTTCTAGATTCATTTCAGAGATTGTAACATTTTCAAATCATTAAATTGAGGTTATATCTCGCAGTGTTTTTGGAGATACTAATTATGTCAGGTTTCATCACTAGCACTGGTTATTTCATTTCAGAAGTGAATTGCAAGAAGTACAAATGCCTCTGTGAGTGGCTGCAGGTGTGTATTTAATCCCTGGCTGGTGTCTTGTGCTCATTGTCAGATGTGGCTCATCATAGTGTCCCCTTGGTTCTTGTAGCGTGGACAGATCTAGTAGTGCATACTGTGAGGACTCTTTCAAGGATCGTTTGGATAGAAATTTCCTGAATATGAAAGGGGTACCGAATACCATTCACATCTGAAGGGCTTGGTTTGAAATGTCTGTAATTGTATCATTACGCTGCAGGTGAGAATAAGCAAGTCTATCCCCAGTGGTCCTGTGCAGTTACCTCATAGAGTTTTCTGACAAATGTAAAATAATACAGCCACACTGCTTGTTCTGAAAGAGGAATTTTGATGTTTCATCCTTTCATTCTGTAGTGTCTGAAAAGATTTCCCCTAAGCCTGAGGCAGTGATTCTCAGACGTTGGTAAGATCTGGAATCACCTGGGGAGCTTAATTACCATGCAGAGACCAGAGCGCAGCCACCAGAGAATCCAATCCAGCAGGTTTTGGACTGCCTGGAGAAGGGTAGTGTGGCTGTGATTTAATGAGATTATTATAAAACTAGAAAAATCATAAAAGTGGTTTTATATGTGTAAATGTAGGTACTCTTATTAAAACAGCAATACAGATAATCAAAGTTCTTACTAACAGTACTGTTGTGAATGTTTTAAACATATCGGATAACTCAGTATTAGTGTTTCCCATTAAATGAATGAGGAACTTTTGGATTCATCATCCCTAACATCTGGTCAAATTTTATTTCTTGGTAATAGACAATGAGTACTTGAAATAAGGGACATTCTTAACTTTTGAACATAATGTAGACAAATGTGTGCAGCATTTTTTTTATGATAAAGAAATCACTTTGGGAAGGAGATAAGTTTTCTTTAGTCCAGCAATGGAATACTACAGGCAAACCAGAAAGTTTCCTACTGACACACTATCTCACTATCCTATGTTTTATTATTACTATTTTTTTTATTAAGATTTTTTATTTTATTTGACAGAGAAAGAGAGCAAGCAGGGGGAGCTGCAGGCAGAGGGAGGGGGAGAAGCAGGCTCCCCGCGGAGCAGGGAGCCCCATGTGGGACTCGATCCCAGGACCCTGGGAGCATGACCTGAGCCAAAGGCAGACGCTTAACCAGCTGAGCCACCCATGCGCCCCCCTATGTTTTCTTATAGTTTGCATTTCATTTCCTTACGGTTTATGAGTATGTGTGCATCTTTCATTGTGTGTCTTTTTTTGAAACGAGCCTGTATAGAATCTAGCTCCTTCCTTGGAGATCTGATTATAAACATCGTTCTGAACTGTTGATGTAAGAAATAAGAAAGCAGAACATTCTCGCATCATTTTCAAGCACACCGATGGATTCAACATTCTGGGGTCAAATGTAAAAGAATGTTTGCCTCCATCAGCTTTAATTTGGGTCATCCCCAAAACTTCATTATTTGACCTAAGCACTAATTATTTTGTGAACCTTGTTTCTTAAAACATAAACACAAGTATAAATTTTCATCAACTTCATCACCCGATCCCTTTGTGTTCTGGAAATTGATTATGTATGGTCTCTGCAGTAGGCTCTTAGTAAACTGAAAGCGCAGGTATGTCAAAGCATGATACAAGAAACTAGGCTTTTTGTCCCAGTGGAAGCAAGATATACCATCAGTCTTCTGTGAACTTGCTTCAGCAAGCGTTCAAGTTAGCATCTGGCTTTCCAAATTATCCAAGTAGATATGGAAAGAAAGTCTTCCCATCACTGTCCTTATAACAGCATTTTGCCTTTGATTTGAAAATGGTTTGACAAAGTTTTTTGTTTTGTTTTAGTGTTTCCCCAAACATGGGAGATGTGTATACACACACACACACACACACACACACACACACACACACACACAGTGTGGCTGTTAGATGTGGGAAACAGGCACAGATTTTGAGGTGCCTTCTAGATGGCATACCAACGTGGAGCTGCATTTAGAAAAATGGCAGTTCACCTTTGGACATTTTTTTTTTTTTTTTGTCTCTCCTTTAAAAATAAGATATATTCCCTTGTGCTTTCATGAGATGTTTGGGCCAGAGGGGCCAGGGCCAAAAATTCTATTGCTTCCTACCCTCTTCACTCCCGGCTTCTCCCAGGATGGATCACTTGCCTACCTATAAACCAGGTAGAGCCTGAGTAGGAGAGTCACTCTTAGCCCCTGGGGAAAGGGAAAGGAATTAGCACTTAATGAGAGCTTCCCTCTTGTTGAGCTGTTTGTCCCCACTAGGTGTCAGATGTTCTAGGCACTTCTTCTAAGTGTCCCATTTTTATCTCACATTCCCTGTGACTGTCCCTTTCCTTCTGTAAATAAGGAAACTGAGGCTTTGCAAGGTAAGATGATATTCGGGGTTGTCAGGCGGGTCTGTGGTATCTCTGCGAATCCCCAGCTGCCCGGCTCTGTGGCACAGACTTCTCTCTGGGGAGAGTCCTCAGCTCTCAGGCTCCACACCTGCTCCCAAGTCCTGTGTGTGTGACCATGCCTGCTTGGATGGCATTGGAACTGGAGTTCCTCAGACCTTAATCTTTCATGTCCGGCCTGCCTCTCGTCTATACGTGCTGATCCTACCACCCTGAGTTGACCTCTCTACTGATGACCTCTGACCCGATTGCCCACAGTCCCTTCCAGCCCTCATCTGACTCACTGAGATAGAGCTCACTCCTTTCTGGCCTAGCTCACGTCTCCACCTACCAGATCATGATGCTTCCTGGAATTTGGTGACGGCTACAAATTTTACTTCCTCCTGTGGTTCTGAGCTGTGCATGATACTAAGGTCTGGGCCAAATTAGAAAATAATGAAAGCAGAAACTCTAAGATTGCATGTTGAGGTGGTAAGTAAAGCAAAAGACTGCTGTGAATAAGTTCACGTTGGTTATCATGGCTCCTGGTTAAGGAAGCAGGGGCGGGTGAACTGGGAAGCACTTGTGGACCATTGAGGGCCACGCTGGGTAGACGTGGGTGATATTCTCTGGTCTCCCATTCAAGTCTATCCTGTTTCGCCCTGACACAAACTGGTATTCATCTTCCTCCTCCAGTTTAGGGTTTGTAAACTCTGTTCTTAAGTCTGAGATCAGAGTACATCATTGACGACATTTTGCGGATTACTGGGCTTTAAAAAAAAAAAACCAGTTTAGATCTCCTTTATTCTTTTTAACATTCTCACTTTCCTTTTTCTTGCCACTTAAAAATAAACACTGAAAAACAACAACAAAAAAAGGTAAACATTGAGCTGATCTGCCATGTTTAGAGGAACTATCTCGTCTGTTAATACCATAACCTACTAAGGTGTTCTTCTCAACGTTGTTTGCACAGAAGAGTTTTTATCAGGAAAGAATGCAACAAAGAAGAGATTTTATTTTTATTTTTTAAATTTTTTAAAAGATTTTATTTATTTATTTGACAGAGAGAGAGAGAGTACAAGCAGGGGGAGCGGCAGGGAGAGGGAGAGGGAGAAGCAGGCTCCCGCTGAGCAGGGAGCCCGATGCAGGACTCGATCCCAGGACCCTGGGATCATGACCTGAGCCAAAGGCAGACTCTTAACCATCTGAGCCACCCAGGCGCCCCCAAAGAAGAGATTTTAATTAAGGAGGATGCTAATGCTAATAGCCAAAGTAATGTTCTTAAGGGGCCTGCTCGCTGAAACTTAGGTATGTACCACAGGTAGGAAAAACGGTAGTTTTCATCAGATGAAGTACGTTATTTGGACATTAACTTCAGTGACAAGTAGAAAGCAAACATTCCTTAAAGATATTTTCTCTGTATTTGCAGCTTGCTTTACATATAAGAAAATTTGGAGAGAAAGTTTCATTTTGCTTTACCCAGTGAGTATAGCTAAGCCCAAAGGTGGTGTTATCAGCCCTACTTAGTGATGAATAAACTGAATTCAGAAAAGCTAAGTAGGTAGGCTTAAATGCAAGAGTACGGGGAAGGTGTGTTCCAAGCCAGGGTTTCCAGGCCAGCTGTGTGAGGAACGCAGGGGTAAGTCTCTGCCTTCAGGGGTACTGTTGAGGGAGGAACGCAGACATTCTTACCAGATACTGAGGGAGTGAGGAGGAAGGGTAGCTCTCCCCGGGAGGAGGAGAGCAGAACAGCTTGGCCAGGTGATGTCTGCACTGGGTCCTGAGAGACAGGAGGGTTCTGACAGGTAAGTGGGAGTCAGGGAACGTGGTGGGCAGCACGCAGCAGAAGAAAGCACTGGGCCGTTTCGGGGAAAGTTGAGTCATTTGAGACACCAAAGGCAGCAAGGTGAGCAGCAGATTTTGGCGTGGGAGGTCAGGTGGAAAGGTACAGGGCAAATCAGATTGTCAGGTGCCTCAAATTCCATTTTCGTGAGATTGATTCCAGTGGCCTTGGGGGTCCCAGAGCCAAGGGCGGGAGGAGAAGGCAATGCGAGTCTGTTTTCAGAAAACAGGTGAGGCCAGAGCGTGACAGGTGTTGCTGTCTGGAAGCGGGAGGGACACCTGGGAAAGGAGGTGATGAGCATCACAGCCAGGACTGAGGGGAAGGACGCGGGGAGAGATGGCAGCTTGAGTAGGGAGTCAGCAGAAGGATTCAAACGAATGTCTTTACTCGTTTGCTTTTTTTTAAGAAGAGACCTGAATGTGTGTGTCGGTCAGTGGAAATTTGCTGGTAAAGCAAGAAATTTGTTGACAGTATGGAGAACTTTGTGAAGCAGGGGGTCAGGATTGTGGGGAGAAGGTGAAGGGGACATTGCTTGGGGTGCTGATAACCGGGAATTAGCGAACGAGCAAACCCGAGATGAATCGCTGCGGATTGCCGAGCGGGACTCTGCACCCCATATCTAGCCACAGCATCCCTGAATGACTCAGTAAAGAACGACGTTGAGCCAAGGAACCTGGTTTGGTCAAGAAGGAGCTTTGAGGATTCTGCTCACCCAGTGCACAAGTGGCTTCTGGAAGGGCTGACCAGACCCCAGAGTGGGTGGTTTTGGCAGCATGTAATGAAGTTTAAACTGTATGTTCTCGTTCAGCTAGCAGTTCGTCTTTGCAAAGAATTTGCTGGCATGAAAGCTTTGCGAGAGCAGGGATCCTATCTGTTTTGTTCCTGTTGGATCTGTAGCGCCTGGCACGGTCCAGTGCATGTGCTATGTGCTCCGTACAGATTTGTGAGATAAATGTGTGACTAAAATGCTCCTAAAAGTGTGCAAACACACCATTCTCCGCCAGTGTTCTCTGAGGTCCAGCCGGACCGTCTTTCACTTGTGCTGTGGACCGTTCTGCCTCGAGCCTTTGTTCCTGCTGCCCACATCCCCATCCTTCCAGATTCTCTTATGAGATGCTTTCTTGTAAGTGTGTTCTTCTCTTTTTGAGCATTTGTCCCATTTTGTGATTATATATTTGTTAGTGTAATTCTTTGAATAATATTCACCTTTCTCATCAAGCTCTGATCTTCCTGAGCGCAGGGTAGTAACTGCTCACTGCGGTATCCCTAGGGCCCTAGTACGGTGCCTGGCACAGAGCAGCACACACACACACACACACACACACACACACACACACACACATTAATTAATAGTGAATGAGGTTCTGTACAGTGTTGTTTGTAATAGGGAAAACTTGGGAATGACCCAAGTATCTATCCATAAAGAAATTGTTAAATTAGGGTATAGCTGCTCTTTGGAATTCTGTGCAGCTGAAATAAAACAATGAAGGAGAACTGTGTAATCTGACAAATCATGTGTGATAGATACATTCATTATTAGGTTTTTTAAAAAGCAAGTTGCAAACTGTTATGTATAATGTAGTACTCTTTTTATAAGAAATATGAAAGAAAACCCCCAAAAGGTATATATTGTAGGTAAATAGAAAAAAAATACTGGATGGATACATAATAAACTCTCAATAAGTTTATTTTTGAGTTGTGGAGTCAGCACTGAATTTTTCTTTTTTTTGGCATATAATTTATTTTTTAAAAATGTAGCTTTTTGGCTATAAATTTCATTGTCTTCTTCATTCATTCCTTTAGTTAAGGTGATTAATGTGCCAGGCACTGTACTAAGCATTATATACCGATCGTCCCCAATTCAGGATGATTTGACTTAGGATTTTTCAACTTTGTGATGGTGTGGAAGCAACTCAATAGAAACTGCAAAAATCAGATTTTTGAATTTTGGTCTTTTCCTGGGCTAGCAGTATGTGGTATGATCATCTCTTGTGCCACTGGGCAGGGCATCAGCTGCCGATCCCAGTCAGCCACATGATCAAGACATAATCCTATTGTAAATGGAGCAGCTCTGTATGTAACTAACAAATAAAAGCATCTCTAGAGTGACTGAACTGCTAGCCGGGGACACAGGCAAGTACATGGCCAAGTCTGTCTGTGGTGTGGTGAGCGTTACGATGGGGGAAGCTACACTACCCTGGATAGGCAGTAGCCTGGGCGAGGAACCGGGACAGAGAGGCTCCCTAGGACTTGTTTGCTAAAGCTGTTATTTATTGAGTGCCTACTATGTGCAAATCTGTGGGCTGATTTAAGCACGTTCCCTGCCCTCCAGGATCCCAGAAGCTGTTGGAAAGGGGTGATAGCAAGCGTGGGATGTATCGTGCCTTTTATCAGCACTGCATAACAAAATGCCCAGCGTGTGAGATAATAATCTCCAATTAGAGAGAAAGAGGGGAAAATGGCCTGGATTATCCAGTGATAGAATAGTTAGCCTCTAGGTAATTAAGAGTGGCTGCATTTTATTCCCTCTAAAGATGTCACTTTCCCATAGATTTAGGGTACTTGATAATTTTGAATATTTTTTCCCATCCCATTTTCTTGGCCCTTCTTACCATTCATTTGCTTTATTCCAAATGAAGCATGTCTTGGATTCCTTTTCTTTTTTTTTTTTGAAAGATTTTATTTATTTGAGAGCGTGCATGAGCAGGGGGAGGAGCAGAGGGAGAGGAAGAGAATCTCCAGCTGACTCTGTGCTGACTGCAGAGCCTAACCGATCCCACAACCCTGAGATCATGACCTGAGCCAAAACCAAGAGTTGGACTGAGCCACCCAGACGCCTCTTGGATTGCTTTTTTTTCCTACCCCAGGAAGTGTTTTAAATTGTCCACTAATTTTTCTTGAAATCATGGTAATCTTTGAAATAAAATAATGGGTTTGAGTGAGTAACTATGGGGTGCTGGGGAACCAGAGGGAGGAGGCCCCAGGACCTTACAGGCCTCCTACGGTGGACCCCGCCGTCGTGGACACTTGCATCCACAGCCTGGATCCGAGTGGCCTCACTTCATTCACATATACCAGTTTGGATGTTTCAGTTCATAGACTGTAAAGCAGGAGTGTCAGAAGGAGGCGATCTTAATGAGACTCTCAGGGGACATGCCCACAGGAAGCTTTGCTCTGGGCAGCAGTCTGGGCTCATCCACCCTTGGCCTGAGTCCAGTGCTGAAGGGCAGGCCAAGCACAGGCAGAGCAGGAAGGGCTGCGGCCCAGGAAGGCAGAGGTCCAGCCCCCGAGTTGCTTTCCCACTGGTGGCTTTACTGACAAAGTTGTATGTGCCTTTCAGACTTGGCCGCTTCTCCCCTTGCTTTCGGTCTGTAGACCTGTCATTAACCAGTTGCAAAAAGATGGTAAGAGGCCCTGGCGCCCTTGCCCTGCTCTCGGCAAAGATTTACTAGCCATGCCCTCTGCAGTGAGGTTTCCTGTTACAAAGACCTCATTATTATTACAAAACATGCAACAGAACTTCATCATAAATAATTAAAAAACCCTGACAAAGAGACTGAGTTGAGCACATTCTGTGATACAGCAAACTGATTTTTCCCCTGCATCACAGTCCTCTGTTCGCCTACTAATTCCTCCAGCTCCGTAATTAACAATGGGCAGCTCTGTGCTTGAGTGAATTACTCAGGTTGGGCGCTGGTTCCTCCTTTGTGATGGCGCAAAGGGGTGGGCTGGCTGGGTTCCTACCAGTCTCTCAAATAGGACTTTAGTGTGCTTCCCATTGTAATTAAGTATCATTGTGATAACAGGCATGTTTAGTCCTTCCTAATGTAGATAACTTCTGGAAGACAAAACACAGCTGCCCCTATGATGTGTCCAGTGGAGCTGTTTTCCTTCTTGAGGGGTGGAAACGGGAGGGAGCCGAGAAACCTACACTGAGGCTAGCAGCTGTCAGTCAGGTCCACTGTGATGTGTGTAGTAAATAATTGGGGGCATAAAATGAATAAAAATGCTTCTCCTTGAGCTAGTTTCCTACTTAAGTTGATGGCATAATAAAAAGGGGAAGTTGAGGAGTGGCTGATGTAAACTAAAGAGACGAAATGCAATGCGTGTTGATTGTTTGGGTCCTGTTTTGAACAAAACAGGTGGAGAAAAAAAAGAAATAAGAAAGACAAGTTTTAGATAAGCTGTGATATCTCCATATGGACGAGGTACGATATCAAGAAATTACTTTTAGTTTTGTCAGGCTTGTTAGTAACATTACGGTTGACGAGAAAATGTCCATTTTATAGAGATGCATATTAAAGCTTGTAAGGGTAAAGGACAGCTTTAGGACAGGCGGGACTTGCTCTGACCATACTTGAGCAGAAAAATTTTAAAGGCTGGAATAAGTGAAGCGTATACTATGGCAAAATCGTGATGATCGTTAGAGGGTTTATAGGAATACATCTTACCATTCTCCAGACTATTGTGTATGTTTGAAATTTTTCATAGTGGTTATTTTAACCTGACTGACCTCTAAGTTCTTTAAAGGAAATAGCTACTGAATTTTGTTAGGTAATTTACAAATGTTTCAAAATCAGCTTCTTTGGTTGTAATTTCTGATTTTTTAAAATAGGGATAATGGTGCTTGCTTTGGCAGCGCATATACTAAAATTGGAACGATAAAATAGGGATAATGGATTAACTAGATAAATACTAATAATTCCCTCTGCCCCCCCCCAAAAAAACCCCACTTTTTTGTATATAAAGCTGTGAACAGGTTTCTATTCAGGGTGCCTCACTACTCATTGTACCTCCCACCATTCTGGAACGAATTGCCCAAATTTAGGTATTGTCTTACCTAGGAATTTTCTTTTCTTTTAAAAGATTTTATTTATTTGGCAGAGAGAGAGCACAAGTAGGCAGAGCGCCAGGCAGAGGGAGAGGGAGAAGCAGGCTCCGTGCTGAGCAGGGAGCCCGATGCAGGGCTCGATCCCAGGACCCTGGGATCATGACCTGAGCCAAAGGCAAGACACTCAGCTGACTGGGCCACCCAGGAGCCCCATAACCTAGGAATTTTCTATATATGCTCTTTGCTCTGTTCTCTCCGGTCCTTGCCATCTCTCACAGGGAGGAAGGGAAGGTGTCAAGAGCCCTATTCCTAGCAGATAGCTATGCTGGCTTGTCCCTGCTCTTCTGAGAGCCGGGAACTCCAAGCCCAAGGGACAGGTCTCTCGGGGGTGTCTCCACCTCTCCTCTCAGCTCTGAGGCCCGTCTCCCCGTGGTCCCCATAACCAGAGTTACTTCCCTGAGTCAGGTCCTGGTAGGAAGGTCCAGTGGTCAGATTCCCCATCACCAAGATGTGCATACCAGCACTACCACTTACTAGCTGTGGTCTTGGGCACACCTTCCCTGTGCTTCAGTTTTTTCCTCTGTTAAAGGCAAACGATGCTAATAAATAGCTAATGCACAGGGTGAAGATTAAATTAAATAATACACGGAAGGCACTGACCAGAGTGCCTTGCCCAGAGTAAGTAGTCATAAATGTTTTTGACATTCTTCTTCATTTTTTTAGGTTTATTTATTTATTTACTTACTTATTGTTGGGGTGGTGGTAGAGAGGCACAGGGAGAGTAAGAGAGAATCCCAAACAGACTCTGCTGAGCACGGAACCCGACGCAGGGCTCCAACTCATGACCCTGAGATCATGACCCGAGCTGAAATCAAGAGTTGGGACGCTTAACTGCCTGAGCCACCCAGGTGCCCCATTCTTCTTAAGTTTATTATATGAATAAATGTTTCTGGAAAATAATGCTTATGATCAATGGAAAAAGTAATTGTTATTTATTCTCCTCATCTTATCACAAAATACAGGTGGATCCATTCAGGATTAATTCCATTTAATCAATGTGTTACTAGCAATACTGCTTTTTGCTATTTGTTTTTCAATGAAACCTTTAAAATGTAATTGATATTTTAAGGATTTAGTAACACCCTTAGCTGTGTGGTACAGTTAATATAGAGAAACAGCACAAATGGTGTGGCATTCTGGAAAGAACAGGAGTGAAGAGACAAGACACACCTGGTTGGAATGCTAACTTAGTTCCTTACTGTTGGAGAATTTCTCTGGGCCACGTTGTCCTCAACTCTGAGATGGGAAAATAAGACACCTACTCAGCTGGGCTGTGATGAAGATTAGGAGAGCCGCAAAGCCCTCACTCGTGGACGTGTCGGAGGTTATGACAGTTTCGCACGGTGCACTGGGGGGAGAGGGGGCAGGAGAAGGTGACAGACGGGCCGGGAGCGGGGAGACCACACTTCACCTCTGCCACGCGCCAAATGCCACGACCCAGTTGCCTTGACTTCTCAAGATACCAAATAGACAAGTCCCTTGTACTCTTAAGTATTTGTGTGACCTTGTTGTTCACCTCCTATCTTATGACCCGGCTGGGGCCGACTGAGATTGCCAAGCCTTGTAGGTTATCCATAAAGCGGGCAGTTCACCCTCTGGTGATTAAGAATGGATGGAACGGTAAGACTACGCATTTCGGTGGAATTCCCTTGTGGCTACATCAAATAGGCCTACATCCTATCCACTTCTCCATAATTTTCCTCGTATTTGAGAGGTTAAGGAAAACTTTACAAAATAGAAGAGTCTTCCCTTCTTTTCAAAATTTGTTTTATTAGCTAAATAACTGTATTATTTCTCAGAGTGATCTTACCGTGTTTTTAAATCCCCTCAGAGAGTCTTATCTGTGCCCCATAAATGAAGCATTATCCAAGTAAGAATGGCTAGCATATGTCTGATTTCCACACCAGTAATGCCACAGAATAAAACCCAGGTCATGTTGATGTTCAGTGATGGTTTTGAGCTTTGGTTTTTAACAAAACATTGTTCATGACTATTGTTAAAAAGCGCTCTTTGCAACACTGGGAAACTTCATGAATGGGCTGTGATTACACATTCACTCTTGAAAGATAAAACATCGTATCTCTCCGCATGCTGGCCATGAAAAGGGGCATTGATCTAGAAGAAACCAGCACAGATGTGATGGAAACCAGCATTGCGCCTGTGAATCGAAGACTTCTTTCTGTTCCTTTTGCACTTGATGATCAGTTGTAGTGGGTATGAGAGGAGCCTTGAGCCTACTGAATGTATTTACGGGGGAGGCAGAGCAATAGAAGGTGTGTGTGCTGGGCAGAGGGCTGCAGAGGGGCTGGAGGGGGGTGGGGGTGGGGGGACTGACCGTAGGCTGCAAGGCCTGGCTGTGAAAATGGGGGCGGGGACAGAGGTCTCAAGTGGAACAGCACATCTTAGAGAGCTCCGTGGACTTGGAATCCATTCACAAGGCTGGATTTAAGATTCCCTAGATGCCAAAGAAGGACAAATGAAACTAGAACCCAGTAAGTTTTGAAAATACCAAATTCGGTGCTTCCAGACCTATTAGAAAACAAACAGAAGGGGAGGAGAGCTTTTTGGGGACAGAATCTTGGCTTCTGAGAAAAGGCAGAGTTTGGTGAAGTTAGTAATTAAAGGCTTATTTCTCGTCTATTTTCATGCCTGGGGTGGTGACCTGGCTTCAAAGCTCTAGATCAAAGAGGTTTGTCCACAAGGATTCTAAATGTGCTTGAAGGAAAACAAACAAACAAACAAACAAACAGAAACAGCTAACAAACGAGAGGTAAGGGGATTCTGGAATATGCTCTCACCAGATCCCACGGAAGAGCCGCACGCGCTGGCTGGGCTTCCCACTGGTATACGGGCCCGCGTTGTAAGAACCACTGTGCTTTTCAGAGGGCAGGCAGAGTGCAAGGACAACGACCCTTTCCTCCCTCTCCTTGGGGGCGGTGAGTGGGCCTCCCGGAAATGGCCAAGGCCCCAAGTTTGGAGCCCAGAGGACGGCACGCAGGCGCCATTCCTATAAAAAGAGGAGTGGCAGGATGCACGGAGCTCTGTGGAGGGAGCCCCTCTCCCAGCTTCTCTCCGAGTAAATGTACTGGCGCCAGGTGAGTCCAGTGCTAGATTTTTAAGATTTAAAGTTAAAATAACCATTTCCCTGTCGCCTACTTGCTTTCCAACCCCCTAAAACCAAACTAAACCAAACCAAAAACCTATTTTGGGCAAGGGAAAGAATCCAACAAAAATATACAGAAACTATTTAAACTTTCAGAGAAAAGATAAGAACTGCTGGTACAAAAGATAGCAAACGAGCGAGCGGGTGAGAGAGAGAGAAAATGCGTGATGGGGTAAGCCAGTGAGGTTAAGCACGATTAGAGTAACTTTAGAATATGTATGAGGATTAAGAAAAAAATGACAAGTGGTTACCATAAAAAAAAAAAATCAAAATAAGGAGAATTAAAGCTGCTTGTTTTTGCTGAAGTGCTGACTTAAATGCAGTTTATCTTTGAACATGATGTTAATGCATTAGAAAGTTAGAGAATTGGAAACAAGGACAAGCAAAGAAGACAGACGATGGAAATCAAAGCATTGTCTTCTTTTTTCATGACTGCCGAGTGAGATATTCTCATTTGACCAGCCTCTGGGCAGATGATTACAAGCACACAGAAGTTGGCTCTTTCAAAAATGGAGTACAAGGTTCCTGGTCACCTTGATGTACGACATGCTGGGGTCTGGAGCCAGCGGTCAAGAAAGAATTCTTGAGATGGCTTCAGTGCAAAAGCGTGGTTTTTTTTTTTTTTTTTTTTTAAAGATTTATTTATTTATTTGAGAGAGCGAGAATGAGAGAGAGAGAGTACATGAGAGGGGGGAGGGTCAGAGGGAGAAGCAGGCTCCCTGCTCAGCAAGGAGCCTGATGTGGGACTCGATCCCGGGACTCCGGGATCATGACCTGAGCCGAAGGCAGACGCTTAACCGACTGAGCCACCCAGGTGCCCCAAAAGCGTGGTTTTATTAAAGCATGGGAACAGGACCTGTGGACAGAAAGAGCCGCACTGGGGTTATGCAGTCAAATGCTCTGCCACTGAGCTATACCCCCCACACTGGGGTTGTGACTGGTGACTGATTATATACTTTGAAGTTGGGGGGGGGTTAGGGAGAGCATAAATCTCTAAGCATTAAGTCTTTGGTAGCAAGGTTTCCAGGACCCTAAGGGGCTAGCTTTTGTTAGGAAAAGGCCATTTATTACTGTCTAATAAAACCTCAGTCACGAGACCCTTCAGATGTATACCGGTGGACCATATGCCTGGGGGATGACTGCCAGCATATATCTTAGGGGTGAGGAGAGCTAAAGGAAGTCTCCAAAGGAATTTTTGTATGTTAGAGAAGACTTACAGGATCCTGTAAGGGGGGTTCGGGATAATGTTAAGCTAAAATTGCCTTTACCCTTAGCAAAGTATTAACGTCAAGGCAGCTGAGCTCCTAGAGGAATGTCACTCTGCCTGTTCCAAGGACTTGTCGGTGGGCTGTAAGTAGTAAGGGGATTTAATTTTTCTTTTGCCTTTGCTTCCCACATTACCCTTTCCTCAATGCATTCTTGTTGTCGTTAGAATTTTTATTTCTAGTGCAATGCTGTTTTATGACACTTGCCTAATTCACATATTTCTCTGCCCCTTGTATTTTCAGGATGCAATAAGAGGCCTTAGGAAATAACTGGTACTAAAGCTTTCTGAGGCACAGCATAGGTAATGCTGGATGACTTGGCCAAATGTATGAAGTTGTCCTTGTCAGTCACAAGTTTCCCAAGGGTCTGGCTGGGGGACTGTCGGGGACTCTAGCAGGAGAGTGATGTTCTCCCCACCCACCCAAATAACCAATGCAAAGATATGTGCAAATAACAGAATAAGATCCATTATTTCCATGACAATATTGTATGCGTTGGAAAGAAAAAAACCTTTTGGATAAAGATTTTAGCAAAAAACTAAAGAGTAAAGTTTGAAACATGTCAAGTACACGAACCAGTGTCTGTTTGGAGGATTCGTTTTTAATGTGTTTTTTAAGTAAGCAGAGAAAAGGAACAACTGCTTTGTAGTTTTGCTTGTTTTAGTTCAGTATGTGTGATTTGGTTAGGTGATTTCTGAATGTAAAATTAATACAAATTGACTTTGACAGAAACATTATCTCATAAATAGAAAGATATTCTAAAGAGCAAGACAAAAGTTCCAAAATGGGATGAGATGGCAGTTTATTAAAATTTCTAGGCTTTGGTTAACTTAAGATTCTGGGAAAAAATAACAAAAGAGTAGATATACAGATAGCAGTGCATTGGGTAAGAAGTAAACGGATTTATTTTGACAAAGAGGAGCAAACTGATTTAATGCCGCAAGCAGAACTCGTTAGAGACTCTCATAATAAAGGGAAGAGAAAATAAGCAAGAAACATTTCTGCCTAGTGTCAGGGGTCTAGCGTAGACAGCAAATTGGAAATGAACTTCCAGTGGGACATGGGATCTGGAAGGACCAACATTCTGTCAGTAAGCATGGGGTAATGATCCATCTTTGAAAATATTCTGCAGATGCGTGGAATCCCATCTTTACAGACAAAGGCAAGATGCTAGAAACAGATCAGAAATGAGTAAACAGCCTTATACAAGTTTAGATAGGATTCAGTACATTTTTGAAATGTATAATTTAGGTACACTTTGACTAAGTTGAGTGGAAGGAATCAAAAGTTGTTTTGAGTTGATACGCGATATTTTAAAAACTCGGAGCATAAAGAATGTAGAGTGACAAGGGGGGGGTTGAGGCTTAGGGGTAGAATATCAAGTTTTTCACGTTTTCAAATTCGATGCTAAAAACAGCTCTTCCTTCTATGCACTCTTCTCTCTGAGGGAGCGGATGCCTTCAGTACTCACATGGATCAGACTCTTCAGGGACTTTGCCGGGCTGATTGTTAGCGAATAATCTGGAGGCTCCCACTTGGCCCCTCTGGCTTTACAGGAATACTTATTTTTCTCACCTTTCTCATAAACCCACTCCCAAAAGCTAGCATTCTTCTCAACCCCTGTCCCATGCACAGAATAAACAGACTCCATGTCAATTTTTTTTAGATTGAGGAACTCTTTTTAGTAAGGCAGGCAGAACCCCAACCACAAGATAACCCCAAAGAAGTATTTTTAGGTTTAAATGATAGAGAGACATCTTATACTGAAGCATTAGGGGACTGGTGACATTTAATAGGCATTTAAACTGTTTCCACTCTTGCAGCTAACCATGTGTCTCCTTCTTGCCTCTGCCCACCGCACCCAGCACAGTTTTTGAGCTGAGCTATTATTGCTGTACGGTCTTAATGAGATCTCTTTCTCTGGGAGCACTAATTTTGAAGGTTAAGAGCTGCAGACATCACCCAAGAATTAGTATTTCAGAATCTGTATTCAGCAGGATGAATTATTGCCAGCTCTCTAGAGTGGATGTTCTCAAACTTTCCAGTCTCAGTACCTCTTTACATTCTTAAAAATTATTGTGGACTCCAACGTGGCTTTTGTTTATATCGGCTAGGTCCACGGATATTTACCTTACTAGAAATAGAGATTGAGCCACTGTCGGAACACAAGCATATACAAGCTCGTGTTCCATGAGCTGTCAGAGTGATGGCACCAGACCTGCCTTGTGGCCTCTGGACACCTGCACTGCACCGTCATGGGAGACTGTGAGCAATAAGGGCACAACGAGCCCTAGTGTTACCATGAATGGAGTTACATCTCTCTTGCCCTTCTGCAAGGGTCTCAGCCATTCCCACGAGGGCCCAGATCACACTTTGAGAAGATCTGGAATACAGTTGACCCTTAAACAGCAGGAGTGTGAATTACAGCCATCTGCTAATATGCAGGGTTTTTTCCATAAATACAGCATAAATACAGTAAATGTTTGCTCTTCCTTACGATTTTCTTAATAACATTTTCTTTTCTCTAGCTTAGTTTATTGCGTGAATACAGTGTATAGTACATATAACATACAAAATATGTGTTAACCAACTGTTATGTTATCACTAAGGCTCCTGGCCAACAGTAGGCTATTGGTAGTTAAGTTTTGGGGAGTCAAAAATCATATGTAGATTTTCTACTGCCCTGGGTACCGGTGCCCCTAAACCCTCATGTTATTCAAGGGTGCACTGTATATGATTAAATGTAATATATTCTATTAACTTGATTATATGCTAATATAACATGTATCATTTATATCATATTAATGTTATATATATTGCGAAAAAATATATATAATACTGAGAAAAATAAGAAGAACCATTGTACTTCCTTCAGGAGGATTATACATATTCAGAGATACTCTGAATCTCTAGCTCTGATGGCTAGAACAGACTAGCAGTGCACCCCAGCAAATGTCCCCAGTGTAGCTGTCCTTCCTTATCTGTGTGTGTGAGCCAAAAACTACATATAAAGCTGCAAAACTCATCTTTGGAGCGGATAGAAGTTTATGGAGTGAAGCAAGCAAATAATAAACAATCTGATGATGTATTTCAATCCTAATAATCAGTCTGTGACGAAGTCCTAAAAATGATTACTTTCTTTGATAAAGGCCAAAACAAAAAGTATTAAATCCATTTGGTTTAAAATTATAGACTGAAAGAATAGGTAAATTTGCTTTAAGATCTTTATGTTGGAGTGTAGGAATTGTGTCTTCAGTTTTTAGTAAGACGACATATATCTGCTAGTACTCAGGAACTGGGATTCATTTATTTCTTGTATCATCAGTCAAAGCAACCTTGAGGCTCTTCCCCCAAACGTGTGAGACAGCACCCAGCTTTTCTATGTAACTGCTTCTCTATTTGTTTGATCGGTTGGAGTGGTTGCTTTGCTAAGCTTTATCCATAGCTACAGGCAGGCAGACCCCAGGTTCACTGGGAAGTAGCTCTCTGCAGCACCTTCTTCAATGTGATTGACTGTCCAGCCTCAGACAGTATTCATTTCTCAGTGAAGTTTATTTTACATCCTTTACTCTTCATTTGTCTTGTAAACACCCTAATATTAGAGGATAAAAATTGGAATGCCCCACCCACCAAAATCTTTCCCAGTAACCAGCCAGCCCCCTTTAAGCCAACAGAATCCGTTTTTAAAAAGGTCTCAAAATTCATTCCAGGAGTCTCTGGGGCTCTTTTCTGCACTGCAGCAATTCATAACGCTCTGACTTTCTGAGAGAAATGGTTGGAATATTAGAAATTAGCAGCTAAGGTACTTCTTTTTTTTTCTTTTCTTGAAGAACATAGTCACTGCTAAAAAGTTTAATTAAGTTGCGTAAATATGTTTTCTGACAGGTTTCTCCAGATTTATTTAATTTTACAAATAAAAAAATGGCACTGCCTTTTAAGTACTGAGGATGGTATATTAGAGCATTTTAGTAGGTCACTAAATCATATTAAAAGTTTAAACCTTAAGGGGAAAATTTTTATGTTCTTTTAATATCAACGTTTATTAAATTTGAATCTAGTTTCAACAAAAGACGTATTGTCAAGATAATATCACTTTTTTTTATTCTTAAAGGAAAAGCTCCTATTTCTCTTCCTTATATTCTGCTCCATACTTCTGGCCACCAGACATGGGGTGGGGGTTCCCCTATATCAAGCAATTCTGTGGCACCATCTGGACGTCTTACAATCCAATTTAATTATGACACTTGTCTACCCCATCATTAGTGTCCGGCCCACACAGGCTAAGGGTTCAGTTCCACAAGACTGGCCCTCGATCCCCCATTTCAGATGCCAGTCACAAAGCCAGGTTTGTGGGCTTCTGACCCACTGGCTATAAACCAGAGGCTTTCACAGGCCTCTCCTCTCGTTTGACATTTTGCTAGAGTGACTCACAAAACGCAGAAAAAAGTTTACTTACAAAGATTACCAGTTCATTTTAAAAGGATGTAACTCTGTCATTTCCTGACTTGTTAATTTTAGCGTTCTGATTGGTGTGAGGTGGTGTCTCATTGAGGTTTTGATTTGGATTTCCCTGATGCCGAGCGATGTTGAGCACTTTTTCATATGTCTGTTGGCCATTTGGATGTTTCTTTGGAAAAATGTCTGTTCATGTCTTCTGCCCATTTCTTGACTGGATTATTTGTTCTTTGGGGGTTGAGTTTGATAAGTTCTTTATAGATTTTGGATACTAGCCCTTTATCTGATATATCATGTTGGTGAGGATGCAGAGAAAGGGGAACCCTCCTGGGGATGCAAGCTGGTGCAGCCACTCTGGAAAACAGTATGGAGGTTCCTCAAAAAGTTGAAAATAGAGCTACCATATGACCCAGCAATTGCACTCCTGGGTATTTACCCCAAAGATACAAATGTAGTGATCCGAAGGGGTACATGCACCCCAGTGTTTATAGCAGCAATGTCCACAATAGCCAAACTATGGAAAGAGCCAAGATGTCCATCGACAGATGAATGGATAAAGAAGAGGTGGTATGTATATACAATGGAATATTATGCAGCCATCAAAAAATGAAATCTTGCCATTTGCCACGATGTGGATGGAACTGGAGGGTATTATGCTGAGCGAAATAAGTCAGTTAGAGAAAGACAGGTATCATATGATCTCACTGATATGAGGAATTCTTATCTCAGGAAACA